TACTGACCATACTATGTGGTCTTGGATGTCAATAGGAATATTAGCATGTAACTTGATTAGCTACCCTTCTTTACCTTAAGGTCACCTATTTATCACTGTGTGACATCATTCCAAAACTCATAACTTTATTTCCGTCTTAAGCAACATTTACTGCAAGAAATCTTTGGCTTTCACAGCATCCAAGAGAAGGTACTCAATTCAGGGCTAAGAACTTCCACTCACTTTTAACTTCTGGAGGTCTCTTGATGAATTTCTCTCAATAAATGACCACTTTTACATGACCTCATTCAATAAAGTAGCCTGACAGAGCAAAGCAATGATTTGTCGCAATTCTGTACTTCTGACTATCAGACATTTTATTATTAAAACATTTATCATAGAGGTATTGTGCATTATATACTGTCAACTTCAACTGGAATGACAGATAAGTTAGCATAACAGTTATAAAATAAATTATAATTAGTTGGACTTAATGAAACTAATTAGAATTCACAAATAAAAAAATGATATATAACGTACTCAACAGTATAGTCTATTACTTTAAACTGCTTTGGAAACCTCTCCATCTAATCAAAGATACAGTGTTATGGAGATAAATCTGCTATGATTGATGTCATCCATTGAGGTAGGTCCCACTCCTAAATCTGAGGAAGAAATTAACAACAGAGTAGTTTGCAAAGCGTCTATACATAGAAGGAATGAAATAAAATTAGAACACTGACCTACTTAATCTCAGAGATGGGATACTGAGCTGCATTCCATTGAAATGGGATTATGTTACAAGGACATCCCAATGTGTATCATCAGCTATTGTGATACTCACTTCACTTTCTTCTTACTTTGTGGTCTTCGAATACTCTGTTTATAGTTGCTTTCCTATTTAAAATTTGTTTTTAGACATATTTGCTGGCCATCTGACATGAGTTTACTAGTCTGTCTGGAAGTTACTTCTCATTGTCAGGGAATACAATGGTGTTTGCCTTACACAGGTCTTCCCTGAGGAGATTACCAGCACTAATCCTTTGTATTATCCCAATCACCTCTGAGTACTAGGAGAAAAGCTAATACTGTTCCTGTGTAAAGTCTGTATCACAGTGTGAATCACAGTGCATTCTCCCTGGACATCCTTCCTCAACATTAGCTGGTTTCTCCCTTTATTTCTAGCATCTGTCTAAATATTTAATACAATTCCTATTACACCTAATGTTTTAACACTCTATTCTACCTCCAGGCATAACAGAAGCATGGTACTTGCAATATATAGTCGCTTTTTCCACTTTACTGAGTTCTAGTTCTGAGTATACTCCCATGGATGAAGGCATAACTAGACGCCACTGTAGAAGTATATCATTGACCTGACATATGCCACATCCATTTGGTGGAAATTACAAAACACTAGAGCAGTATCACTTCTCTTGCTTTTACTCATGATGATCTAATGACTCACCCTTTCTTGAATTCTGGGATGTCATCATGCAGAACCTCTATTTTATTACCACAGAAAAACAGAGTCTATGGCCATACCATACTGTACGCACCCTATCTCATCTGATCTCAAAAAACAGAATTTAGGATATGTGGAATGTCTACCAGAATGTTGGCAAACTTAGGATGGGT